ACACACACACACACAGTTAATAAAACAAAGAACCCCACCCGAGCTTATTTAGAGCTCTGGTCCCCTGGGCTTGGATTATAAATGGCAGGGGCGGTCCCCTGGGTGGGGCTGGAGGAGACAGACGCACACGGCCCAGTGACCGCACCATGGAATCTGGGCCAGACGTGACGAAACCGGATCATTCAATAGACAGCCCCAATTCCCAAAAAGGACAGGCCATGAAGGACGTCGGGTCAAGAGAGAGGTGGTGAGTTTTAGAAGGTCACCCAGGGCGTCGGGGGGTGGGAACCCTGCCCTTGCCGTTGGCGCAAACCCCAAAATCGCTTTGGGACAGTTGTGCTTGGAGAAGGGAGCAGTGAAGGCCAAGGTGTGAGGGACATTCATGTGGGGCATTGAGGGCTGTGTAGGAGTGTGAGCCAGGTCGTTAAAAAAAGGGAGGTACTACTTTGACCCTCCATTTGCAGAAGGCGGATGATCATTATTTCAGGAGGCACAGACCAGAATCACTGTGAAAATTCCACTCAGGCCGAGCTGTCTTGAAGCAGGCATTTGTGTGGTGGCCGAGCGGAGGTGTAAAAAAATGTGTGTAAACAGCGCTTTCTTCACTCCAGATCACACTGCATGTCTACGAGGGGTGTCCATGGCACACGACAACCAAATCACGTTGGCCAGTGCATTAAAATGACGGAAACACAAGCCCGATGGACGCTCACACGCTGAGCTAGTTAGACTCTTTCATGTGGACTGGAAGATCCATGGGTGTGTGGGGGTGGAACCCAACCTGCCAGTCAAGCCGCAGCCTGGGGTGTGGCCGGCTCACAAGGAGGCCCCGGGGAACCTCCCCTCTTGGGCTCTGTTCCTTCACCTTCCTGCTTGCTGGCCACCCTGAGAGTTGCCGGAGCCCTGCCTGGTTTCCACCAACTTGCATCCCCGGGACTGTGCGCCCGGGGGCCTGTGATCTCCCTGCACGCTGCATCATTGCTCGTGAGTCTGAAGAGGGGCTAATGGACTGGTATCGGACTTGAGTTGGACCGGGCTGGGATGCTTCCTTGATAGATAATTACTTCTTGATAGAAAGCTCTTTCTGATACACAGAAGAGTGTTGCTGGATTTGTTTCTCTAGTCAACCCAGCCTAACACACAGGGTAAGTTCAACTCTTAGTAACAGCATTAAAAGACCATTGGATTCTTATTAGAACCTTTGGTCTTACTATGCGGTCACAAGCATTGTTATTAACAGGTAACGATACAGGTATATAATGACAGATATGTTGCTGACATCTAGTGATCCTTGCGAGATAGGATGGGTTGGCAGTCGAAATTCCTGGCGCATGACAGCGCTGGTGAATGATGAGTGGGGTGCTTGGGAATTGAAGTAGTTTGTTCTGATGCTGGTAAAAATGTAACATCTCTCAGAAGGCATTTATCAATCACTCTGGCATCGGGCACCGTGCTGCCTTAGGGTAAGTGACCAGATTTTACCATTGGTAAAGCGGGACACCATTGATAAAACTCATATCCTGGCGAAATAGCCACATGGCAGCCGAAAACCGTATACCCTAGCTTGTCGTGCATTCTTTGCAAAAATCAGGAATTTTTAAAAACGTCGCAGGACACGGGAAAAATTGTTAAAAATCGGGACTGTCCTGCCAAAAGCGGGACGTCTGGTCACCATACCCTAGGGGGCAGTAGAGGACACACGGAGTTACTCTGAGAGAGATGCTTCCAAGCAGCCAAATGATAGTGTGTCCCGTCAGGTGTAGATCAGAAACCTGGGAGACTACTTGCTAATGAATGAAGGATGAAGGGTGACATTTTGCACCAAACCGAGGTTGCTGCGAAAATACCTAATCTACTAAGCTCAACGTGGACGCCTGGTGACATAGCCTGTTACGTCCTGAGATGCTAACCACAAGGTCAGAGGTTTGAATCTAGAGGATGCATCCCGGAGAAAGCTAAGGCTGTCTCAGAAGCCTTGGAAACCCCAAGGGGCAGTTCTACTCTGTCACCAGGGGATGGAATTAACTTCCACGGCAGTGAGTGTGGCTGGACTAAGCATGGCTGGTTTATTGGCGAGAAAATAAATGAATTAATTAACTATTGTAGCCAACTGCCCTGGCGGAGGCTCTGGCTCAGGTGCGCCCCCGTGTGTGTCAGTGTAGAATCGCACTCTGGGGGGTTTCACAATGGCTGGGTTATTCGTCCTGGATTTTGTGTTGCTCCCCGCCACCCCTTCTTTCTTTTCCAGAAGCAGGTAGCCAGGTCTGCGTTCCAGGTGCCCATAGATGCGTTTGAACTGCCAGTCTTTAGGTTAGCAGTTTGTGCAGACTGTCCGCTCCACCCAGTGAGCCTGACAAACCTACTGCCATCAAGTCGACTCCAACGCAGAGGCTGGTGAGATAAAGTCGACCCGCTGCCGGGGCGTTCTATTTACAGAAAGTGGCTGGGGGGATTCAAACCGCTGTCCTAGGAAGGTGTATCCGGACTGAAAAACGCCCCTCGCAGTTGGATGGCAGGTGGGAAGCTGTGGCACTGTAATGACGTGGAGTTTCTTTAAGAGAGTCCCCTCCTGCCCGCCCCCCCAAATGACTAAGCTCACTGCTACCGAGTCCATTCACAGGATCTCGCTGTGTGTGTGTGTGTGTGTGTGTGTGTGTGTGTGTGCACGCGTGTGCGTGTCCTCCTGGAGCGGAGAACGACCTCTGTGGGGTCCCGAGACTCTCCGTCCTTACAGGAGCAGAGAAGCCTCATCTTTCTCCCGCAGACTGACTTCGAACTGCTGCCCTTGCCGTCAGCAGCCCAACGTGGACACGGCTCTGCCACCAGGCTGGATGAATTAAAACAAACCCAAGCCAACTCGTCGCCATCGAGTCCTGGTGGTGTCGTGGATGTGGACTGCTCTCTGCGAGGTCAGCAGTTTGAAACCACCAGCCGCTCCGAGGGAGAAAGATGGGGCTTTCGGCTCCCATCAAGAGT